GTCTGAGGGCCCCCCTGGCTGGGCTGTCCCTTCTCCCACGGGTGCCCTTGGCTTTAATCTCTCCCAGATCCCCCAAATCCCCCAATTCCCCCAAATTCCCCTTTCCCCCCAGTTCCAGGGCTCTGCTGCTCCCAGGGTTCCAGTTCCAAGGCTGATCCCGGGTTTTGGGGCCGGGCAGGGGGGAATGGGGTGGGGGATAAGGGCAAAGTGGGCACATGGAAAAGGGGGATGGAGGAGCTGGAAAGGGGGGACACGGAAAAAAAGGGGGGTCCCATTTCCCTCTTTGGGGGAGGGGCCTCCCGGAGCCGATTGCTGGGAAATCCCGGGATAAAATTACCCCCAAAATAGCCGGGGGTGGGGGGGTGGGGGGTGGAGGGGATGGGGGTTGAGGCCGTTCCCGGCTGCTCCTGCTGGGACACGGTGGGAGACGCCCCCCCAGCCCCAAATGCACCCCCCAGCACAACAGGGGGGTGGGGACCCCCAAATTGTCCCCCAGTGTCACAGTGGGGGAGTTGGAGACCCCCCAAATCTCTCCCGGGGTCAACGGGGGTGTGGGGACCCCCAGATTCTCCCTGGGGACAATGGGGGTAGTGGGGACACCCCAACATCCCCCCCCCAGGTCCCAGTGATGGGGTGGGGACCCCCCGGGGACACTGGGGGTGTGGGGCCCCCCAAATTCCTCCCCCCGGATCACAGTGAGGGGGTGGGGACCCCCAAGCTCTCCCTTGGGGACAATGGGGGTTCCCAAAGAGAGGACACTCCCCCACCCTTGTTTCGGGGGGGGTCCCATCCCAGAAACCCCCTTTCCCCCCCCTCGGAGGGGTCTCCCCGCCCCGGGGCCGTTTCCCTTTAAGGGAGGCGGGGCGGGGGCGGTGCCGGGGGGGGTTCCCGGGATTTGAGTGGGGGGGTCAGCGGGCCCGGGGGGGGGGCCGGGCCGAGGGGCCGATGGGACGATGCTCCGCGTGTTCCTCCTCCGCGCCGAGAACCTGCGCTCTCCCGACTCGGACATCAGCGACGCGTACTGCTCGGCCGCCTTCGCAGGTGGGGGCTGGGGGGCTCGGGGAGGGGGCGCAGGGCTCGGGGGGGCTCTCCCGGGCGGGTCCCGGGGTTTGGGGGCTCCCCCCGGGGGGTTTTTGCCCACGCCGGGCTCTGCCACCGCCGCGGGGACGGGGAGAAAGTCATGGGAGGGTCCTGCTTGTGTCCCCCTCCCCTTCATACCCCTCCCCTCAATTTGTGACCCCCTCCGTGATCGCGGCCACGCTGTCACGCCCCGCCCGATACGTGGGGACCCCCCTTAAGCCCCCCCACTTTCTTTTTTGGGGGGACATGGCTGAGCGGTGACACCAGCGCCGATATTTTTGGCCTCTCTGCGCTCCTGGGGGGGGAGGGGCAATGCCGAATTTTGGGGAGTTGGGGGGCGTGTCCCTTCCCTGCGACCCCTCTGGGCTCGAGGGGGAGGTCCCACGAGTTGGGGACCCCCCCGGGACAGGCGGTGCCGGGGTGAGGACACCCCCAGGTCCCCCCAAAAGTGCCACTGGGGGCCACCCCCCCCTCCCCAAAAAAGGGGTGACAGAAACGACAAGGCGAGGGTGACGTCACAGCTCGTCTGGGACGTTTTTGGGGTGCACGAGCAGCTTTTTGGGGCGGGTCGGGCCAGGAATCACCTCCGGGGTTTTCCCTGGATGGGGGCGGGCCCTTTCCCGGGATTTGGGTGCTCCCCGTGTCCCGCTGCTCCCGCAGCTGCCGGGGTGTCCCTTCCCGGTGTCCCATCCCCAGAAGCCCCGGGACAGGGGCCTGGACAGCCGCAGTTCCCGGCATTCCCAGCTCCCGGGCTTTGGGTGCCCTGCGGGATCGCAGCATTCCAGACTCCGGGAGATTTCCCAGCCCCAGATCCCGGTGCTGGCTCATCCTCGGGCCTCAGAATGTCCCCAGATCCCAGGGATTTCTTTCCCATGCTGGGATCACAGTCCCCACATCCCGGTGTTTGGGGGATCCCCGGGACTCGCAGCGTCCCCAAATCCCAGTGCCAACCCCTCCTTGGCTCCGCAGTTTCCCTGGATCCTGGGGGTTTATTCCTCATCCCGGGATGTGTCCTGGAAGTTCTCAGCATTCCTGAGTCATGATGATGGAGTTTACCATGTTTGGGATCTGCAGCTTCCCTGGATCCCAGTGCCAGGCCTTCCTGGGGATTTATTTGCAGCATTCCAGTGATTTAATTTACCATCCCTGGGGGTTGGAGCTTCCCTGGATCCTGGGGCTTTATTTCCCATCCCAGCTCCAGGGGGTTTATTTCTCACCTTGGGATGTGTCCTGGAGGTTCTCAGCGTTCCTGAGTCACCCTGGTTATTAAATTTACCCTGTCTGGGATCTGCAGCTTCCCTGGATCCCGGTGCCAGGCTGTCCTGGGAATTTGCAGCAGTCCTGTGTCCTCAGGATTTCATTTCCCATCCCTGGGACTTTCATCATCCCTCGATCTCAGAGATATATTCACCATCCCTGGGGTTCACAGCATTCCCACATCCTGATTCCAGGCCATCCTTGGATTCCAGCATCCCTGGGTTCCAGTGCTTTGATTTCCCATCCCCAGGCCTTGCAGCTTCCCTGGATCCTGGGGCTTCAGTTCCCATCCTGGCTCCAGGGGGTTTATTCCTCACCCTGGGATGTGTCCTGGAGGTTCTCAGCGTTCCTGGTTGAGATTGCCATGGTTGGGACCTGCAGCTTCCCTGGATCACAGGGAACTATTTCCCATCCTGGGTTTGCAGCTTCCCTGGATCCCAGTGAATCATTTACCAGATCCCAGTGAATTATTTACCATCCTGGGTTTGCAGCATTCCTAAATCCCAGTGAATTATTTACCATCCTGGGTTTGCAGCATTCCTAAATCCCAGTGAATTATTTACCAGATCCCAGTGAATTATTTAGCATCCTGGGGCTGGCAGCATTCCCAGATCCCAGATCCCAGTGCCAGGCCATCCTTGGGGTTCACAGCATTCCTGGGTCCTCATGATTTAATTTACCCTTCCTGGGATTTGCAGCATCCCTGGATCCTGATGCTGGGACATCCTCAGGCCTTGCAGCATCCCCAGATCCCAGGGATTTCTTTCCCATCCCTGGCACTCCCAGCAATCCCAAATCCCAGTGTTTGGGCATCCCTGGGAGTTCCCAGCATCCCTGGGTCCCAGTGCTTTCACTTCCCAGGTCTGATCACCTGGATCCTGGGGTTTATTTACCATCCCTGCCTCCAGGGGAGTTATTTACCTTCCCAGGATTTGCAGCATCCCTGGATCCTGGTGCCAGACCATCCAGGGGGTTTCCAGCAGCCTCTGAGCCCCAGGGATTTATTTCCCATCCCTGGGAATTGCAGCATCCCTGGATCCTGGTGCTTGGGTATCCTCGGGCCTTGCAGCATCGCCAGATCCCGCTGGATTATTTCCCATGCCGGGCTTTGCAGCATCCCTGGATCCCAGAGCCAGGCCAGCCCTGGAGTTCACAGCATCCCTGAGTCCTGGTGCCTGGCCACTCCCAGATCCTGGAGCATCCCTGGATCCCGCTGATTTATCCTCCTCCGTGACTCCAGCATCCCTGGATCCTGCTGATTTATTCCTTTTCATGGCTCCAGCATCCCGGGATCCCGCTGATTTATCCCCCATCCCGGTGCCTCCCCCCGGTCCCCCCTCCCCGCATCCCTCCCATTATCCCGGTTTTCCCACCCTCCGGCGCCGCCGCTCCGAGGCGTTTTTTGTGCCGCCTCCCGGCGCCTCCTCCCGCCGGGAAGGGCCGGCCCGGGAAAAGGGGGGGGATCGGGATGGGGGGGTGGGATCCTGCCCGCTCCCGGCTCCATCCTGGCCATGCTGCGGGTCCTGCTCCAACGGGCCACCCACCTCCCGAGCCTGGAAAAGCGGGATAGGCAGAGCGATCCCGTGGCCAGCCTGACCTTCCGAGGTGAGGGATCCCCGACTTTGGGATGGGAGGGGGGGTTTGGAGGATTTTTGGCTGCTTTGGAAGCCCCTTCCCACAAAGCCCGGGGGCTGCT